AGCGGCTCTACCCCTTTCCTCTCCCCATCAGGAGTGTGGAAGTTATGTGGAGCTGTAAGCAGCCTCGGGCCCATGCAAGAGGAAGACCAGGATCATCCTTGCTGGTCCTGGAAGCCTTGAGCCTCTGAGCCATCCCGACGCACACACACCTCCAGGCCTCACTGTGTGGAAAACAAACCCCTCCCTAGAGACATGCTCAATCAGTATTATTTGCTTAAAAATGTGCTGTGAGAGATCTCTGGTTAAGTGTTCACACCAGAATTTTTAAAAAGAAAAGGAAAGAAGAAAAGCCATTCTGTTTAAAATGAAGTTTTCTGTACTTGCAGAATCATGGGCTGACTTAAATGTGCAATAAAAATATTTGAAAGAAACTAGTTTGTGAATAAAAATGTGGCCTAGAAGGCTTTGAAGAAGTATATGCCTACTCTGTGTTATCTAGTGTGTATCTGTAACACATTTGTAGGGAAAAAATCCAGTAAAGTTCATCTTAACATTTGTAATAGTCTGGAGCATGTCCCATGGCACATGTGAGTCCCAAGGCTGACAGCCCTATGCCATGCTGATCTGTTGTTCGACTTGAGGAAAGCTCCCCTCCCCCAGGAAAGCACCCCTCCCTCCATGTCTTGGGCTCCCAGGCTCCAGAGGATTCCAGCGGCTGCTTACTAACAGCCACAAGGAGCTGGATGCTCACCACGGTCTTTCTCTTCACTCCAGACAAGAACTAACTAAAATATACCCTGTGCAGTCAAACTTCTCAAGAGTGGGTAATGAACACTTTCACTAACATGAAACACTGCAAAGAGGACCATGGCACCAAGGGTCACTTCATAATTTTCTTTTTGGTGTCACAGTCTTTGATGGAATTCTTTCTTGATCCAAATGTTGTGCATCCTGGAGTCTTTCAAGCCATGCTCAGATTCCACCACATTTCGAACAACCTCTTCCTGAGAGGCCCTGCAGTTCCCAGTGAGTGTCCTCCCTCAGTATAGCAAATGGTACAGCAACTCTGCCAACACTTGCTGTGTTCCTTGAGGTCTTGGCTGAAGGGCACTGACAATAGTGAGTATTAAAGATTTTTCTTGCTATTTTTAGCTTTTACTTTAAAATATTATTATTGGGGCCAGGGATTTAGCTCAGTGGCATTGAGCCTGCCTCGTAAGTGTAAGGTCCTGAGTTTGATCTCCAGTACCAAAAAAAAAAGTATTATTATTGTTGTTCCTACTCATGTGGGTCCAGCATGTAAAGTGCATCAGCTAAGACACCCACCAAGGCAGCTTGGAATGGGCTACAAAAGGCCTTCACTTTATACACTCCAGTATGAGATGGTGGTATGGGATAGCAGGACATTGATACACACACACACACACACACGCACACTCCCCTCACCAAGGAGATGCTGACAGATCTTTGGAAGGTTCTTCTGTGGAGCCAATGTGTCTGTTTTGTTTCCACTGAATCTCCAAGTGCATCAAAGAAAGCAGATCAGGTCATGTACCCTGATTAAATACACTTGTGCTGAAAAAAATCTTTCAAACATCCCAGGAGATTTTAACTGTTTAAATATATATAAAACAATATCTATATCTATATATCATCTTTCCTGGCAAACTCTACATCAAACATTTTACATGCACTAACTCAGCTTCCTCCACCCCAGTTCAATGAAGTGGATACTATTATTAGCCCTATTATTATTTTTTTAGCCCTATTATTAACCCTATTTTATAGAGGCATTTTTCATCCTTACTAGAGGTCTGATAACTAGTAGCTGGTAATAGATAGAGTTGGGATTTAAATATAGGCAAGATGACTCCAGGTCTGCGCTTCTAATCAATGCACCCTACTGTATTGCAAAAGTATTTGTGTTCTTTGTACACAAAAATACAGAATGTATTTCTTGATTCATTGACTATGAGAACAAATGTTTATCAAGTAGTTCTGTTGTGCATGTTCACATGATTACATTTATTGTGAGGAGTTGGCATGTGTACCTAACACATCTGTTATGGCTTGTGTTTAGATGTCCCCCCAAAGTCTCATGCTTTTTCAGAGGTGGCTGAATCTAGAGTGGGTGATTGACTCACGGTGGGGCTAGGCCTGAGGGCACTATGATTAAGAGCATGAGTGCTACCCTCCCTAAGCAGTCTGAATAGGATAAAAGGGGCAGAAAGATGCTGTTAAGGTCTCTTCTTGCTTTCCCTGTTTTCTGTAACAATGAACTGTTGCCCCTCTGCCACTCTGCCTTGGAGCCAGACAATTATGGGCTGAAATCTCTGTGAACTGTGAGCCAAATAAACCTTTCCCCCTTTAACTTTGGGTGTTGGGTATCTGTCTCAGCAATGAGAGAAAAGTAACTGAGACAGTATCTTAATTTTTATGTCTCCTTTCCCTGCCCTCCAACCTGGCTGCACTTCCTCCTATCCTCCTTCTCACTCCCACCATTATTTTCTATTATCTATCTTTTATTTTGCTCTTTATTTACATTTTGGATTTTTCACGTAAGAGACACCATGCAATATTTAAGCTTACGTGTCTGATTTATTTAATGGAAAATTATAGTCTCAAGGTGGATCCATTTTCCTACAAATGGCTCATTTATCCTTTTCTATGGAAAAGTATTATTGAATATTTTAAGTGGACACCAAATATGTCACAAAAAATGATATAGATCATATAATTCAAACAACACCAAAGACAATGGCAGAGAAGGCCACAATGTCAGGGATGGAAAGGAAGATATAAGGTCATATTAAAATAAGATAAAAAATTATAAAAGAAGACAATTTGTAACTTTATGTCAGTAAATTCAAAAAGACAAACAAAATTAATTCCTTTCTATACAAATATAAATTATTCAAAATTAATTCAAGAAAAATAAGAACAACCAATGAATTTCAAAAGGGAATCAAAGAACTATCCTTCTAAAATCTATCAGGCACATGTTTTGTGAGTGTGTTCTATTAAACCTTCAATGAAAAGATAATTATTTTAATAATTTAAATATTTCAGAGGGAAAAATTAGAATGCTTTCAAAATCATTCTACATTAACACAGCCTTGTACCAAAGCTGAATAAGAACCATATCATCTCTTTAAAAGGGACAAAAGAAGATAATTTATTAATGCAAATAAATTAAAACACACTCTAACATTATTGATTAAATCCACCAAAAAAATACACAGACCAAATACACAGAGTTTATTTTGAGTAATATAACATAGTATAATTGAAGATAGCATTTCAAACCAGTGAATAAAAGTTGTTTTCAGCATTGGTGTTGAGATATTTGGCTTTCATCTTTGTAGATCCTGACCTGTGAACATGTATAATCATTAGATGAGCTGACTCCGAAGGACACCAAAGCTGTAAGATCCTAGAACATTTAAGGAAGGATTCTGTTTAGGAAGCCTTTTTAAACAAGATGGGAAATCTAGAAGCCCTGAAGAATAAGACTTGCAGATTTGGCTACATAACTCTACTCTGCTAGGAAAACAGTTTTCAGTCATTTGTGGAAACATTTCTGTAAGGAACACTATGGAAACACTAAGTGGTAGAGGGGCATCACCACACAATACTTATGCTTTCTAAAGATGGTAAAATTGATAGCCCTCCAGTGAGTTTGGTGAAATGAAAGCAGTGGGGGCGGGGTGGGGGTTGGAGGGCACAGACAAACAAGATCAGAATACAAAGTATGGAACAGTTTCAGAGATCAAGTTTTCTAAGGCAACAGTATTTGTAACCTTGTGCCTGTACAAATGGAAATGTAAAATATAAATTACTAAACTGCCTCAATAAAAAGTAGGATTGTTTTTGTAAGACAAGTAGAATTATTGCATATACATATACTAGATAAATTGCAGGTTACCTTTGGGAAACTTGGGACAAGGCTAGGAGAGGCTGGGGAAGAAACCTCTTCCCACAGGAGTGCGGTGCACTTTGAAGTAGTATGCAACAGCATTGAATTCATTTTGTAGAAAGGCAGCAAAAAAATCGTTGATGAATCACTGCCCAGGAAGCCCTGAGGACCGCGAGGAGGCGGGCCAAGGAGGAGGGGAATGACACTCAGTGGAGGCCCAGGGAAACCTCCACTAATGATCAGATCGACCCTCACCCTCACCCCTCTTCTTCCCCCACTTCCCACACTGGGACACTAGCCTGAGATCCCAGGGCCATTGCCACCGGAGGAACAAAACCCAAGTTCCAGTGCCCCGGCCTGAGAGACCTGCGGGACCGGACTCTGGGGCCATCCCCTCCCCTCTCTGGACCGAATCCGCAGCACCGCCCCG